CAGTCCAGATGCTGTGTTAAAGAGGATTATAGCATTGAGTTAAGACTGATTTCAGAATAAAAGAACTGATGTGTATAAACGTAGTAAAAGGGTTTGTAGCCTTGGCTCATAAAATGAACTATTAGCGTGAGTGAGTGAAAGGATAATTGTACATAAGCCCTGTGTATCAAATCAGGAGGGTTTTTTAATTACAAAGGAATCTCCTAAAGCCCTTTGCTCATCTCTTATTAAAGCCCTATCACAGTGCAGTATAATAACCTGCTGGCCACCCTCCTCCAGACAGCCCCACTTGTCACGGCTCCTGGGAAGGCAGCCCCGCTCTGAATGCGGTCTTTCAGATACTCCATCCCACAAGCCAAAGAAAGTCTCTCAGGGTACAGTTTCTAGGCTTCCCCAGGGTCTTGGCTCAGAGAAGAAATGGCACTGGCCCTCAGATGATAAATTAATTTTTAAAAAATGAAGGAAAAGAGGGAAGAAGAAAGCTGGATATTCTAATATCTCAGTGTAGTTTCCCTGATCACAAGTAATTGGAGGCTCCTCTATGATCCTGAGTTTCCAGGGAGAGAAGGGGTGACTGTTCCCTCAGTAATCCATGCCAGGCTAAGCCCTCCAATGTGCAGATTTACATGTGGAAGGTTATCTGCAAGATTAGAAGCCATTCTTTTTCAGTGAAAGCTAGGAGCCTGGAGATTACAGCAGAAGGCACAGGCAGCTCATAAATCTGTAGTGCCTGGGGCTCTGGACAGCCCTCTCATTGGTAAAGCGATTGATGCTTCTGCCAGGGAAGCTCCAAAGAAACTGTTCATCACTATCTCATTTGGAAACTTGACACCCAAATGGAGACACTGACACCCAAGCTTATAGATCTAAGCAAAGCCCAAAGGTGTCAAATCTGTATAAATCAGGATGGGAGGTCTGTAAAGGCCCTGAGGACTAGGCTTTTCTCAAATGCCAGCTTGTGACTCTCTGAAGGTTTACAGCACCTGGGACATTGGCCTAGAGCCTTCATAACAAAATATAAGGAAGGAACTCAAGTCATAATGCAGGAACAGGCTATAAGAGCCCCTCACCAGGTCCATGTCAGGTATTCTCAGTGAAGGCAGAGAGACCCAAGCAACTGTTGCCACTGTGGTCTCTAACTCTGTCTTCCAGCTGGGCTCAGATTTTCTCATTCTCAGTGATGTAAGCCCACATCACATCATTGTGTCCCAATGAACAACCAATCACTTCACCTTCCCAAATGCCATGGGAATCCAACTACTCTCTTCAGAAAAACAGGTTAATTGGTTGCTTCTGCTCAACCTTCAAGGCCTGGTTCAAACAAGACCCCTTCCATGAAGCCTTCCCTCAGGCCAAATGAGTCACAGCTTCTGTACCCCACCCTCCATGCTCATCAATTCACAATCTGGGTAGGGCACTTCTTACACAGTCTGTTTATTATCTGTTTAGCTGTTTTACCCACATGCCAAGGCTCCTCAAGGCAGACTGTATTTGACTTTCTAGGTCCCCCATGCCTGGACCATGGAGGCCACAGAATAGGCTCAAGTTAGCACTGAGCAAGAGAGTAAATGATGTCCGGGACTGCGAGCCAAGATACCTCTGGTAAAAGCCCACATCCCACTCTTGCCTTAATCTTACAAAGGGTCACCTCCAACCAGCCAACATTAACTGAGCACTCGCTCTGTCTATGGCAGGCAGGCATTAGGCCAAGCACTGGGGAGTTCAAATCCAATCAGACTCAGCCCCTTTCCCACGGGACCTCAATCTCAGGAAGAGCCCACCTCGCCCCAGGGCCTTCTCTGCTAACAGTCAGTGAAATCTATCTGCAAAAGGAGCTGAAAAAGTATGTAGACAATCAAACCATAAGGCAAACAAGCTACCACATGCTCATTCTAAAGCAATGGGCAGCAAAAACCACCCCCTGAGGTAATGGGAAAAAAATTTTAGAACTTATATTATTAAAAAAAAAAGAACTTCTATTAATATTTATTTTTTATCAAAAAGTAAGAAATTAAGCTTTACTAGTTACTACATGGATTGACAACAGAATATGCAAATCCTTCAAATATACACATATTACAAGGGTGTGTGCTTGTGACAGACATACTGTAAAATGACCTCCACACAATGTATGTGTGTATCAAATCATTACAATGTATACTTTAAATATCTTACAGTTTTCTTTGTTAATGATACCTTAATAAAGCTGAAAAACAAAATAGAATAAAAATGCCTTCTGATAATCTCTGCCTCTAGGTATTCATGTGTTAGGGTAATCCTCACCCCTGAGTGTGGGCAAGACTTGTAACTCACATCTAATCAAAAGAATACAACAGAGCTGCTAGAGATCATTTCCAGAGTTACTTCACATTATATATCTTTTGTCTTCCTAACAGACTGTCTATCCATTATCTCCATTTACAGCTTTGATGAAGTCGGCCATCCTATGGAACAAGGAACTGAGGATAGCTTCCAGTTGGCAATTAGCAGGGAGGCCCTCAGGCTACCAGGCCATGAGGAAGTGAATCCCACCAACAACCTTGTGAGCTTGGAAGAAGATCCTTCCCCAGTCCAGCTTTCAGATGAGACCCCAGCCCAGGCCAACACTTTGTGTGCAGCCTTGTAAGAGAACTCAAAGGAGGGAACACAGATCAGTAATGCCCAGACTCCTGAGCCACAGAAACAGAATAAATGGGAATTGTTTAAGGTGCTAAGTTTGAGGTAATCAGTAGACAGCAATGGATAATTAATACAGTCCTCAAATTCTTAACTGAGAGGTTGTACCATCAAATAAGTATGGATTCTCTGAACTGAAGCATCTCTAGAAAAACAGAGAGGGGTTCTAAAAAAGAGGCCAAGGGAGCCTACAAATTTTAGCAGTAAAAAGATCATCAGCCTTAAAAGTAGGAAAGTAGAAAACCCTAAAGAATTGGCTTCAAGAACACCTTGGTTTCAGTCCCAGCTTTCTGCCTCTAAGAGTAAGTGATCTTGGTCAACTCAGACTTCTTAAGTTCAACTTCCTTATCTATACAATGAGATCAAGCAGGCTGGTGACAATGGACAAAGAGAGAGTGATCTAGAAACTATTTTGTAGAATGGAATGTGATATACACATTAGTTCGCTACAAAACTCTGGGAAGGCCTTGAACAAGGCACTGTTCTCTCTTGGCCTCAGCTCCCTTATGATAAGGAGGAGAAGCCCATCTTGTCTCCAAGGGCTCTGACCTTTGATTCTAACATCATATCCCCATGTGAAGAGAGGAAGAAGGGAAGGTGAGCTGTATTGTGAACTACAATACTTCCTAGGCATTCCATTGAGCAGAGCAACTGTCTTACCAACAAGACCACCAGAGGTGTCTTTGTTTAACCAACCACATCTTGTCAACTTGCAGGCTTGCAACCCAAATTCCTCATCTAAGAGGGAAAATCTATTTGTTTTACACAAAGGAAATAAAAGGTCCAAGTAAAATCAGTGAGAACCACCAAATTTCAACACAAATGTGGACCTACTCTCAGGTGGGCAGTAGGATTGATTCTGTCACTGAGCACCTTAACAATGTGCCAGGAGCTTTCATAAACATGATCTCTAACCTTCACCAGTTTTATAGTATGGATTATATCATCCTTCTTTCACAGTTAAGTTGGCTGAGGCTCAGAAACGGTAAGCTCCTTGCCCCAGGTACACTGCCAGTACATGGCAGGGCTGGGAGTTTCATTTTAGTTCCACTTGACTCTAGAGGCCTTGGTCTTTGCACTACCCCCTGTTGTTGCTCAGGAAGAGGAGCAAGTCACCCTCTGATTACAAAACAGACTAAAGGTTCTTGGCCCACAAGGAGATCACATGCATAGTGTGGCTTCATTCATTCACTCCGCAAACATTTACTGAGCACCCACTGAACACCAGGTCTTGTGGTAAGCAAGAGGCTGCAATGAGGATGCAGAGTAATACTCACTTCTTGGTCTCATGTTTCTGAGTCTAACTGGAGAGGCATACCAGTCCATGGAGGACAAGTGAATCAGTGAATGAGCAAATGAATATGCAGACAGACACACAAACAGTGAGCAATTAGTGCTTCGAGCACCATTAACAGTGATTTATAATACAGGGTATAATGGGATCACAAAGTACGTGATGACTGTCAGAAGACAGGTAACATTCCAGGCATTGAAAGAGAATGCAAAGGCATATGTGTTCTGGCAATGGCAAGAAGTTCAACTAGAGCATGGAGGCAAGGAATGAGCCATGGAGGAATCAGCTCTTCTTCCTGTGCTCTCACCTACTGAGCTAACCACTGCAGTAAAATCATCCAAGAGGACAGAGAGCAAACCAGGCATGAGTATTTGTAAGCTTTAGAGAACCTATGAGTAAGTCAAGAGAAGTCACACTCAGGGTCTGAGGCCAGGTTGAGAGGCCACAGGGAAATTAGAAAAACCACCAGGACTGTAACCAAATAGAACCAACCCATACTGTGCTCGTGGGAAGGGGACAGAGAGCAGAGCAGAGGGGAGGCTGGGGCCAAAGGCAGGAGCTCCTCTAATGAAGAAGCTAAGAGCTCACATCTCCCAAATCTGTCAAGCCAGGACCATGTGGATTTCATGATCGAGGCCTTTGGCTGAAGGGACACATATATACAAACATGCTCGTGCACAAACGCCATAGTGAATCATACTTCCAGAAAGACAAAAGGGTCTGGCTTTCTTGGTTCTTTTTTTTTTTTTTAAGATTTTATTTATTCATTCATGAGAAACACAGAAAGAGAGGCAGAGACACAGGCAGAGGGGGGAGAAGCAGGCTCCATGAAGGGAGCCTGATGCAGGACCTGATCCTGGGACTCCAGGATCACGCCCTGAGCCTAAGGCAGATAGATGCTCAACCACTGAGCCACCCAGGTGTCCCTTGCCCTCTTGGTTCTTGATGCTAACAGTATTGGAAGTGATGCACCTGCCCACTTTTTACTGTACTAAACAGTAAAAAATAAAATAAAAATATAATCTCTTACTTTCCTCTTTAGTTACTTGGCTGCAGCAGCTGTTTGGTTTGGAGCAGCTGTAGTTGCTGGGAGGTGATGGTCCATCTCTGGTGCATCAAAAAAGTATGCCTGCAGGAAAAGGAAACCCATGAGGGGAGTTAAACACGATGGTCTGCCCCAGTATTCTAGACTTCAGGCTAATAGTACTTCTGGGCTCTTGTGGCTCCTCCATTTCCCTCTGCCACACGTATCCCACCGAATCATGACAAATTCTTTTTCTGTCCATCTCACTCCCTCTACTATGAGTAACTTTTAAAAAATGTAGCCACCCTGTACTGGCCACTTCCTATATATGACTTAATCTGCATAAGAACCCTGTAAGGCTGCTACTACTATCCTCATTTGACAAATGAGGAACTTAGGCTTCAAGAAGCTGTTTTGCAATCTGGTGCACACAGCTAATGAGTGGGAGAGTCAGGTCTTCCTGACTCCAAGGTTTAGACCCTCAATCACTATATCACACAGTCTCTCTTCCAGAGCAAAGACCACATATATTCCTTTTGTCCCCGTGCCGCCAGCCTCTCACTCAGGGCCTGGCACACAATGTAGACAACCACTACCTCATGAACTAACTACAACAGATTGCTGCTAAATCAGCTGGCTCTAGGTAAAGACCTTCAAAAGAAAGTGCCAGGCAGCCTTTACCTCATAATTCTTCAGCTTGGAAATGAAAGGTCTGGTAAGGGCTTCCACTCACATCTACAGTTTCACTGCCAAAAATCAGTAAGAGGTGAAGGGGTGGGGGGGCCAAGGGGGATCTTCCTGTCTCAAGGTCAGAGAATCCTGACTTTCGCTCAGGAAAAGACCTGGAGTGTACAAAGTAAGGGGAATCCCTGAATATGTCAGGGGTTTACCTCACACCTGTGATTCCCCCTTGGAGTCAGGGCAAGAGCAAAGTAAAAGGACAAAAAGCCAAAACAAGAAGCATGTCAGCAGCTCCGCTCTCTATCAGCCAGAAGGGGGCACCAAGATGACGCATGGTAGCTTTCCCCAACACAATCCTATTTCGCAGGAACTCTTCAACATTCTTGTCCAAGTTTCTAGCTGCAGAGACCCCCTAGCTTGTCACATTCCCAGAGCAATCCTATTAGCTCTAAAAGCCTTCTTCCCAAGGCTCCTTCTGGCACCTGCTTTCTGAGGCAGGGAAAGAGTGGTTCCTGACATAAGGGGGTGGTGGCCAGGGGCCATGCTGCCAGTGTTGGGCCCCTCCAGTTATCTTGATGGTGCACAGAGCCACAAAGCCCCCCTGATGCGGGAACCATGCCTTTCTTGCAGGCTCCTGGAGGAGACCCTCATCTAATGCAATGCACCAAGAGGCTAGGCTTTTGTAAACTTGGTTCTGCTAGTAACTCACACTGTAGCTTTGGACAAGTCACTCCAACCCTCTGAGCCTCGGTTTTCTAATGTGTAAAATGAAAGGATTGGGAAAAATTCTAAGGGCAAACTATAGTCCTGCGACTCACTAAGTTCATTAATTCCACAAATACATAGTAACAACCACAGTTACCATTTGGGGAGTGCCTACTGTGCACCAGGCACATACCTGATCATTAATCTACTCAATAATCCCATATAGGCAAATTTTATCCCCATTTTAGAGATGACCAAATAGAGGTTCAAAGAGATAGAGATGTTCCCAAGGCTATACAACCCTGTATCTGAGCTACAGTTTCAACCCAGTTGTGTCCGGCTCCAAAGGCTATCTTCTTGTCCTGTGCAGAGTGGCCTGCAATTTGGTACTTATCCTATGCCCAGTCTAGATCTAGGCACAGTGAGGCCTCAGGATGAATGATCAGGCTTTCTAGGAGTAGGGCTGGAGTGTTACCTGGCACAGAGTTAGGGCACAGGACTGTTACTAACCACCACAAACACAGGCTTGCACATCTCAAACACGCCAGCCAAGAAACACACCCTCTGGTACATACTTAGTCATCCCCCACCCCTGGAGTGTCCTGCTACCAACTTAGAGCACAGCTGTGAGCACCGAGGGGCCCTCAGCAGGTAGAGGGCTGGCCTACGCTTCAGTACAATGAGGCAAAAACAGCAATCTATGCTCCCCAGGGCTGCTCACTGCCGGTGAGGAGCTGGTGCCCCTCCCCTAACAATTCTTCTCCATGTCCTTCCAATAAAAATAATGTCTTGCATTTGTATGGCTCATGTTGTTCATGTTGACATAACATTCAATCCTTACGAAAATAAAGATGTTCCTGCAGTTCCACTTTCCAAGCAAGGAGGGTAGCGTCCAGAGGGGAAATAGCCAGGGCAGAGGTGAGGGAACTGGGTCCGGACCCCATCTGCTCACTTCTGCTTCAGTCTCTTACACTGACATCTCCAGAAGAGAACAGAGGAGGCTACCTCAGTGTGGAGAACAAAACCCCAGACACAGAGGGCCCCTGGCTAAACACCTGATCATAGAATACTCCCTTCCTCCTCTGCCTGCCTGCCAGGAAGGGGCCTCACACACCCTATCACTGGGGCACTCGGGAGGAACAAGCAGCAGAATAGCCATAGCAGCTTCAGATGACACACGGCTCTTTTAGTAACGTCTTTACATCTAAAGAACCTTTCACAGTATATGAAGGGCTCTCACAGCCATCTCACTGAGTCTCACAAAAGCCCAGAAAATAGGAATCTCCGTGACAGAGGAGGAAGCCAAGTTTCTGAGAATGAGGGCACTCGCCTAGGTTCGCAGTGGTAAGCCCATTCCTGTGCTCTTTCTACTTCACCATCATGCTCTCCTCCAGCAAATTCCTGGCAGCAAGATGGGCAGGTAAATCCCAATGTCAGTGTCATTTACTCCAAAAGGGAGTAACAAGCATAGGGGATAAAAGATCCTGCCACATGTACCAAATGAAATCAGTTCTTAATAATAATATTACCACCACCACCTCCTTCTCCAAAGTCTGATGTACTATGCTCCTCTCTATCATTTACAGAACTGAACAAAGCAGCACTTCTTCTGCCTCCTTCTCTCCATCAACTCCTCAACTAGGTATATACAGAAAAAAAATTTAAATGAGACATGGGGACATAGCAGTGAGAGGGCAACGGTGAGAAAGGACATTTTTCCTCAACAGACAGAAAGGTCAAGAAGGGTCGCGGCAGCATTACAAGGGATCAGCCCAGGAGCTCCAAGTACCAGAAATTAACAGTGTCACTCTGCCATGAGTCAAACCAACAGTCCTTAAGAGGTCTCAAAAATTTAAAGCTCAGACACATGGAAGGTATATGTAAACCAGTTCTGTGTTTCAGAACTTGGCACTTTTTATGAGACTTATTCAATGATCAAGTATCAGGATCTTATGAATGATCCAGGGTGTCTACACAAAAAATATTAGAGATCAAATGGTGCCAAAGTAATATTTACTTCCACAACTGTCCAACCTGACCAAGGGCCTGGACAAGCGTGATGTGAATATCTTCCCACAGGCATGTCCTTTCCTTCATTGGTGACCTTAACATTCTTAGACTAGGAGTTCTTTAAAAACCTGTGTCAGGCCTTGTTGAGGCCATGGACAGCAATTTTTGTGTACAACGTGCACAGAGGATATAAAATCATGTCTCCTTAGGATCAAGAAAGGATTCTATTTTATGGGCTTTGATGGGACAAGTTCTATATTAAATGTTTTACGTGTATCATTTCATTTTATCCTCAGAACAACCCCATGTGGCAGTTACAGATTAGGCATATTATGTCCATGTTTCAGATTAAGACGTTCAGATTCAAAGAAGTTAGGTACCATGGCCGAGCTCACACAGCCAGGGAGTGACAGAGCTGGTCTCCCATCTGGCCCTATCTGACTCAAAAAAACATACTCCCCCTAAAAAGACATCCTAATACAAGAATTCAAAAACTCTTCTAAATGTTATTCACCTTAAAAGTCTCTCCCCTTTTCTAATTTGACTTCATCTTCATGCTTTCCACCTATGGAACTTTAAATTTCAAAACTCTAGGTATGTGCAGAAAATCATCAAAGACATCCAAAGGCAAAACTCTCCCCCATCTCCACACTCCAACCTATTATATAGACACTCATCCGGCTCTACTCTACTCTGAATCTGGCCAGACTCTGAATCTTAACCAAATTTCAGATACTGGGTAAAGCCAGAGATAACCATCAAATTCTCTTAAATTGACTGACCACTTCTCACTTAGGACAGTCTATTTAAAACAGTATTGATTTTATGGAGCCAATTTTAAAAGAATCATTGTGAATAACAGCTTGAGGTCTTTCAGCATTTGTAGCTAAAGCACACAGGAAGATCACAGGAATGAGACCATACCAAGCAGCCCACAGAGAGCAGTGTGTGAAGCAACACAATTGTCACAATTGTGGCCAATGCGATGCGCCGGTTATCCTCACGAACAGCTGGCCAAAAAGTCATTGCCAAGACAGAGCCTGAGATACCCAGGGCAATCATGACTAGAATCCAACGAACAGCCTTCTGGGGGATAACCCACAGTACCTGAAAGAAAAGGAGGGAGAGAAGGACTTTTTTGGAGGTGTTTGAGAGAGAGGCGTTTGTTCATTCCAGGTACCTGTGTTTAATAAAGTCCCCTGAGCCAATCAGCTGGGTGCCCTCTGCCACTCTGGTTTCTCAGTACAGCCTGGAGAAACACCCCAGCATGCAGACTGAGGTGAATGCTTCTGGAACCAAGGACTTGAGGTCCAGCAAAGGCACTTGGCTCCCTATCCCCATTCATACAGAACTTCTAAATTCAAAGGGTATTTTTCAGGTTCCCATCAGCGTTAGGCTGGAAATGAAGACACCGGTTGAATTTTCGACAAGCCCAGGGTGTCACTCAGAATGAGTGTGGTACTTACAGCTGTGGGGATATAAATGAAGAGCGAATATCCATAGACACACACAATCTCCAAAAACGAATAGGAAACGATGTTCATAACTTTGCTGTTTCTCCACATGAGGAAACCCCAGAGTGCAAGAGGAACCAGCCAGGCGTAGGCATAGATGATGGTGGCTGCTATGGACACTAAGGATGACAGGACACAAGTGGTAATCCCCCATGTAATCATGCCTTTAATTACTACCAGAGCACTTCTAACACCTTCCCTGACTTATTTCACAGCATGTCCACCTGCTTCATTGGATCATGGGATCGTGTCTTACTGGTCCTATTCCCTATACCTGGCACTAGAGGGTGGTGTTGAATTGGGGGATTTCAGCATTGTCTTTGTGGTGATGACCAGGGTCTCTCAGATGGTTTTTATAATTTGTTTAATAACTAACAATTAATAGTATTTAACAACTGTATCAAGCATCTGAAAAACTTCAGAGGCCCTCACTATAAGTGTTTATACATTCCAATCATTTCGATCAAATGAAAGCCAACTATCCCTCTAGAAGAACACACCCTCTTTCCTCATATAACAAGAGCTGATGCTGATTTCTTGAGCAAAATTTTTTAAAGATTTTATTTATTCATGAGAGACACACAGAGAGGCAGAGGGAGAAGCAGGCTCCCCACAGGGAGCCGGATGCTGGACTCGATCCCAAGACCCTGGGATCACACCCTGAGCCCAAAGCAGATGCTCAACCACTGAGCCACCCAGGTGCCCCTTCTTGAGCAAATTATTAAAATACCCTGGGCACAGATTAACTGACTCCGTATGCTATTTAGAATGCCTTCTGTCCCTGAAATATGGGGTTTCAGTTCATTCATGAATTGCTTAAAATATTCTTTTACTTTCACTTTCTTCATTAAGTAATTCGTGTCTGCGCTGGAAATGCTATGCAGCGGCTCCTCACAATGGTAACGCTCAGTATTTTACTGTCCCTTCCTCCTCCTCCTCCAGTAGCACCATGCTCCAGAGGATTTCTTTTCCTTCTTTTGGAGTGGAGGACCAGTAAGTGTGGCTAAGCCCGTGGAACCAGCCCTTCCTACAGGAAAATCAGTAGGTAATGCACTTAATGCTCTTGGCAAGCACAAAGGCACCCCAAGCATTGTAAGTCAGACTCTGGTTAAGACATATGATTGGCTAAAACATTTTTAGCTCCCAGAGGAGTTTTTTTCACACAGGGAACTACCTCATTAAGCCAAATGTAATTCTGCTGATATACTGTCCGCCCCCCTTTTTTTAAATAACTACAGAAAGGGGAAGAAAATGACCTCTACGCTGACAGCCATCCACTAGGTGTCAGGCATTACACCGAGTGCTTTACTGAGGGGCAACACTGTATAATAGTCAAAGCACAGACTGCACATGCAGACTCCATGTGCCACTTATAGTTAAGGAATCCTGGGTGGTGAATTACTTAACTTTCCTGCCTTAGTTTCCTCCTCTATATAATGGGAATAATCATGGTATACTACCTTATAAGATTAGTAGGAGAATCAAATGAGTTAAAACAAATATACTAAGAACATTGATAAATAACAAATGTTCAATCAAGAATTCACTTTTTATATTATTAACCAATATGTAAATACATTATTTCACATCATATACATCTTCATTTTAGAGATAAAGAAACATGATTAGAGAAGCTAAGTGGTTTGGTCAAGGTCAAATAATTAACAAGCGGTGGAAGCAGGATCTGAGTTTGTATGTGGATGTATACTCTTTACATAAAATGGAAAAAAGTTTAGGGGTCCCTTGTTGGCTCAGTCGGTTGGGCATCTGACTCTTGGTTTCAGTTCAGGTTGTGATCTCATGGGTCATGGGATCGAGCCTCATGTCAGGCTCTGCGCTCAGCAGGAAGTCTGCTTGAAGATTCTCTCCCTCTGCTCCCTTACCCTCTCATAAATAAATAAATCTTTTAAAAAATGGAAATATGCTTATTGTTGGAGTCAACGACTATCTTACTGGTACATTCATATCATGACTCCCTTATATCATCAGCTAGCCAAGGAGGAAAAGAAAAGATAAAACCCACCCCTGAGCTTCCAGACCTTCAGACAGGGTCATTGACTCCTTCTTCTCTGTCAATATACCTACATATACATCTGATACAGAAGTTAATAAATACCATTTACATCAACATTCATTTACCTGTCTTTCTTTACATAACCATTGAACAACTTGAAGGCAGGGTCTATAGCTCATGAATAACATTTATTGAGTTAAACTCAAACCAGAGTCATTTGACAAATGAGGCTGTAACTAAATCCAGGTCTGACTCTATGAGAATGGGCATGGAGGATAGAAGGAAGGGTACATGGAGACACATACACACACATGCAGGTAACTATATATCTCCCTATACACACATACATGTGCATGTGTATGAACTCTTTTTTGTGTAAGGCATCATTCCAACATCTTTACACACACATCAACTCTTTATTCTCACAATAGCTCAATAATATAGGTATGATTATTTTTTTCACTGATAAGGAATCTGGGGCCAAGAGAGATGAAATCATTTGGCCAACAAGTAGAAGCTAATGAGTGGTGGACCTGGAACTTGAAGCCAGTGAGCTGGTTCCAGAGACTATGCTCTTGGACCTTCTCTCCACAGTCTCTCAATAGGACAGCAGGTAGTCAGGAGGGGTAGGGGGAGGGAAAGAGAAAACCGAGGAAGTGGCCCACATCAATCTCCTACAAAGCCAAAATTCCTCATTTTGGGGTGGCTGTAAGTCCCTAAAAAAGCTGTTGGTTTGTATAATTATCCAATACTGCCACAAGACAGGAAGTTTTAAAACAATGTCATCCACAAGCCCATCATTAGGACAAACTCATTTCTACATTCTCCCTTCCAGACCCTGACCATTTACAGACTTCTCTTTAACAAAGTTGCTAACAGCACAGGCATAATTGTGGATGATCAGTTTTCCATATTGTTCTAAGTGCTTCATAATTAGTGGCTACAGACCCAGCTAGTTGAGTCACCGTGACTTAAATAACAATGCCCCTCTTGTTTCCAACATCTGGATAATACAAATAATGCTACAATGGAGACTTTCATGCACACTGCTTTTTACTTACTTTGCACATTTTTCTTTGGATAAATTCCAATTGCTATTTGGCCTTGCCTTACAGCCTTCTGAAAGATATGTGGATTCACAGTACTGGGCATGTACTCAATGCTACTGAATTATATAAAAGAGTTAAAACAGCAAATTTTATGGTATGTGTATTTTGCCACAATAAAAAAAAAAAGATTATGCAGATTTATATAAATGGGTGGTAATTCTGAGATGGTAAGTATGTATGAATCCTTAAATACAAAAAGCAGGGGCTGAAGCACCTAGAGAAACAGGCCCAGGAGCTCAGTAAAAGGCACTCATCTCATGGTTACAAATTGAAAGCATTCCAAATGAGTCAAGCTATTCACCAACCTTTTCGGAATTCGGGCACATAATGGTATGTCTTCTCTCCCAGATGGATTAAGAAGTTGGAAAGATTCCCACTAATCGCTATGGCAAAGACCAGTGTGGCGCATATCCAAAAGGGGCCTGCAGAGAAAACCAGAAAATTCAGTCAAGAAAATGAAGCACTAGCTTATAGACTCTTAGAGAATAATTTCTTATCTCCCTTGCCCTATTCATGTAAGCAAGGGAAAATGAATTTTCGATGCAATCAATACTCATTTAATGGGAATTTCCTTTTTTAAAAGGTCAAACACACAACTCAGCAATTAGGTGCATTGAAGATGGGGAAGACTGAATGAAAAGGCCAAAACACCTTCTACAATTAGATGAATAAAGACACTAATTTGTTTATAGCTTCTTTTATTAGAGGATCATCCAGAAAATCATGAACATTTTGTGAAATCTGCACCACCAGGATACAGGAAGCAAAGGTTACTTCCCTTATCTAAGTGCCAAATGGTAATTAATGCCAGAGAAAAAGAAATCAGGCAGGTCCTTTTGCAGTCTAAATGAAAGAGCAGGGCAAGCAAAGCACTTTAGGGAAGAGTTAGTTTAATCTACTGGATCATCATGGTTGTGTGTGTGCATGTAATGTGTACTTAAGGCTTTTTTTTTTTTAATGAAAAAGTAATACAGGCACATAGCTCAATGTTCAAAAGGCACGAAAGGGAATACAGAGAAAAATAAACATTCCTCTCTCTCTATTCCCTGGCTCTATGCATTTCTTCACCCCAGAGCTCGCCACCATCCCCAGTTTCTGGTGAATCCTGCCAGGGATTTCTATATACCTATAAACAATTGCATATTTTGTGTGTGTTTTTACAAATGATAACATACACACATGTTCTTTACTATTTTCACTTTATCTTATTTTATTTTTATTTTTATTTTTTTTAAGATTTTATTTATTTTTTCATGAGAGACAGAGAGGCAGAGACACAGGCAGAGGGAGAAGCAGGCCCCATGCAGGGAGCCCGTCGTGGGACTCGATCTGGGAATGCCAGCAGCACACCCTGGGCCAAAGGCAGGCGCTAAACCGCTGAGCCACCCAGGGATCCCCTACTTTAATATATCTTAGTGATTCTACTATAGCTATTCATAAAAATCACCTTATTCTTTTTTTTAGTGGTTATCAAATATCCCACTGAGTGAATGAGCAAACCGTGCTCTGCAAATCCCTTTCACTACTTTTACTTATTTCATGAATGCCACCCTTGTTTCTCCCTACCTAGGAAAAGTACTACATAGAACAAATAGAATTTTTCAATTGAGAGATTTCTTTTTTTTTTTCAATTGAGAAATTTCTAATGAATCTTATGAATTTTTCAACTTCACCAATATTTCACAACACCTTTGGGAATAACTACAGAAAGCTCGACATGTCACAAAACTCAGAAAATTACTGTGTCGTGGGACATGCCTGGCAGAAATGGGTCAGCACTTCTCGACAACAGGCTGGTTCCTGAAGGAAGGGAAAAGGAGCACAAGGATTTGACTGGGATGCTCCACAGAGTCACCAGCAGTGGCTTTCAATAAATTGGTGCTGACACACTAGCCCACAACCTCTCTGGTACCAGACTAAATCTTGTTCACTGTATTATTCTGAGTACCAACCATACAAAAACTGTAGCAAACAAACCCAGACCAAAAAACCTCCTACAATTTGACAATTAAAAAATCTCCCCCAAAAAAAAAAAAAAAATCTCCCAAAGTTCTGCTGAACAAATGAACAAAACTGACCATGTGTTGTCAATGGGCTGGGACCATCCAAGCATATGACAAGTGGCCAAAGTATTACAGTTCCTATAACTAAAAAGCAGAGTATATGATATCCTATTGACCACTGCTTGCAAGAACCCACTATCCTCTAGACCCTGGGCCAGGTGCTGGGGACACCATGATGCACAACAGATACAGTCGTTGTGTCCTGTGCCTGCCGGCACACAGGAAGGTCAAATTCCAGAGACACACAACCACCCGCTCATCTCAGGGTCTGCCAGGTTGCTTTATATGCCTTCTCTCTTCCTACTTTCTGCCAAATTCCTACTTATATTATGGGATGGGGTGGCAAGGAGCCTTAATTTAGTCTGCAACATGCATTTTTATATTATAAAATATTTCTAGGGCAGCCCCGGTGGCTCAGCGGTTTAGCACCACCGCCTTAAGCCCAGGACATGATCCTGGAGTCCTGGGATCAAGTTCCACATCAGGCTCCTTGCATGGAGCTTGCTTCTCCCTCTGCCTGTGTCTCTGCCTCTCTCTTTCTCTGTATCTAATAAAAATAAATAAAAAAATAAAATATTTCTAACATACAGGAAAGCACAAAGAAGGATGAAACTAACACTGACATACCCATCATGCTACTTTTTCAAATCTTTCTAATGGGGTCATACTACTCATGCATCTTTTTACAACGTACTTTTTTTTCATTCATCTTTGTTCTGAGATCTACCCACATTGATGCTTCGACCTCTCATTCCTTCTTAAAAACTACAGATTCTGTGTGTAAACACACCACAATTCACTTCTCTCTTCTCCTGCTGATGAATATTTGGTGGCTCCTAAATATTTGCTATTATAAGCACTGCTGCTGCAGCGAATAATGTTCTCCTTTGTCTTCTTTCATATTGGCGAGTTTCTTGAAGACCATACATAGGAGAGGAACTGCTAAGTGTCAGGGTACGAGTCTCTTCAAAGGGCTCCCAGTCCTGTACCACTCACATCCCCACCAGGCACACAAAAGTTTCCATTACTGTGCACATTCTTGACAACTCTTGGTATCCATGTTTCTGAAGATCTGATTTAAGAGTATGCCACAAACCCTCAAATGGCTTCACACTCAAGTAAAAGCTGAAGTCCTCATTGTGACCAAGACTCCACACAACTTGCTCCCCGACATCTTCTCTCTGACCTCATCTGCTAGGTCCCCTTCTTTCCTCTGGCCCAGTCACGCTAGTCTCTGCTGTTCTCAGAGCACACATTAAGCAAGGTCCTGCCTCAGAGGCTGTGTGCTTGCTGTGCTCACTGCCTCAGATGCCTTCCCCTTAGATATCCACATGGACTGCTGCCACTTCCTTCAGGCCTTTACAGTTAAATTCACCACTTACTTTTTTTTTTAATTTTTAAAAAAGATTTTATCTATTTATTCATGATAGACATAGAGAGAGAGAAAGAGGGGCAGAGACACAGGCAGAGGGAGAAGCAGGCTCCATCCAGGGAGCCCGATGCGGGACTCGATCCCGGGACCCCAGGATCACGCCCTGGGCCAAAGGCAGGCGCCAAACCGCTGAGCCACCCAGGGATCTGCCCCCCCCCCTTTTTTTTTAAATTTCAAATCCACCCACCCACCCAAACATTTCCTGTCCCTTAAATTTTTCACCTTGGCATTTGTCACTAGCATATACATTTGACTTACTTTGTTTATTGTTAAACTCAGTAGATTCTAAACTACCTTAAAACAAGGATTTTTGTCTGTTTGTCTCACTGCTGTATCTCCAATGCCTAAAATAACTGAGTGCTCAGTATTTGTTTAATTAATGAAATGAAGACAAGCCAATTTGTACATGTTAGCTAAAATGATGAATATAATATGATATCTTATTTTGTTTTTATTTTCCTGATTATAGGTGGGGCTAAAGCATCTTTTCATATATTTGTTGGCCATTTGAGTTTCCTTTTCTGTGAATTGCTCATTTTCCCCCAGAACTTATCATTGGTTTTATTCTTATAATTGGTAGGAATTCTAAACATATTATTGCTTTTCCTCTCTTGTTGCTAATAAGAATTGCAAATATTATCTCTGGGTTTTTTTTTCCCTTTGCTATGGTTTATTTTGTGGTGTAGAAAATTTATATTTTAGTTTACATGTGGTCAAATTCATTGATCTCTACTTCCAATTCTACAGATTGGCACTTCTGTCATCTTTTTCCTGACCACCTGCCTCTCTCCCACCTCCCCTCCAATGCCCAGTTCTCTCTGCTATCAAACACTTTAGTTAAATAGTATCTCCTTTTTTTTTTTTTAACCATGTCTATAAGCTCATGAAGCTAATAGTGCTGTGGAAAGAAGCAAGCTTTGGGTTCAAATCCTGGCTTTGCCATGAGAGGCAGCAGAGCAGAATGATGAAGAATATAGGTTATGAGCTGAGCTCAGCCACTTACTGGCTATATGATCTTAGTCAAGATACTTAACCTCTGCGTGACTCAGTGTCTTCATCCATACAATGGGATAATAAGAGTACCTACCTTATAATGTTGGGGTTGCTATGAGGATGAAGTGAGTTATTACAGATTCTTCACCAACAATACGGGTACGTAGTAAGCACTGCGTATGTTTGCTGGTGTTGTTTTCATTGTTAATTCTGTGACTATGGGCAAGCTATCCTCTCCAAAATTTCATTTTTTTCTTTTGTAAGACAAGGCTACCTCAGAGTGTGGGAAATGAAACAGTAACACAGGGCTGAGCTCTTGCTGGTGAGGCACTCAGCAGATGTTAGTTCTCTCCTTTCTCTCTCCCTGGGGGTGGAGACTATGACTTTATCTTTGAATCTTGTCTATAGCATAAAATAAGGTGCTCAAAAATTGCTGGCATGCTTACTCTGTGCCAGGCCTCTGCCAGGCACTGACAACACAGATCACTCAGATACACAACCTGTCTCAAGATCTCAGAAGAATGAATGAGAGAGCTAGGAAGAGAAACCGCTTTGGCAACATTCAGATAAGAGACACGGGCCATGTGCATTGCTTTGCACATAATGTTTCCTGGTGCTCCAGGCACTGCACCAACATCTTGCTGGAGCTTTGGGTGCAGCCAGAGAGAGAAACTATTCGGAAGGAGCCTCTCCTCAGCCTCCTCCACGGCAGTTCTGCTTTCAGTGGTTCCAGATATTGGACATCCATGCCAGTTGATAAAAAGGTCATGTAACTTAAAATCACCAGGCAAATAGAATAAAGATGGGCTTTATGTAACACTAAACTAGTTCTAGTTCTACCTTTTTAGTTTGATACCTCTCAGCCACGGTTTCCTCACAGGGAAAAATGTCTTGGTGTAAGGACTGAACAGGGTATGCAGTCACTGACACAGTAGATCCTCATGAATTCTTTCTCCTCTTATAATTAACATAGATACAAAATACGTAACATATTACTCTAATATTACTTAGGATTAAGCATACATATCACTCACTGAGCCTCATGGCTACCTCATTTGAGAAATGGAGATAATAATAGCTACCCAAAAGGTTGCTGCAAGAATTAAACGTGACCACGTATGCAGAGCACCTGCACGCAGAAAGCATCTGGAGCTGTTGGCTCTCTTCTCCCTTCAAACATGGAAGTCCATGGCTGTTGGAGCCCTTTCTCTCAGGAGTGCTGGATGGACTCTGACTTTTTCTCAGACAGCAGGGAGGTCAAGGATGCCAGTCACGCCCCCCTACCCTTCCCTCTTACAGACTTCCAGTGCTGCTGGCTGAATCCCAAGGGGAGCCAGCTTATCAGAAGGCAGAGCTTACTTTATTTAATTTTACTTTATTTAACTCATCTCAAGTTTGTAGTGTCATTTGAAGACCTTCAAATGGACATACTACTTGTAACCACAGCATTTATATAACACAGAATTGCATTTTCCCCAAAGTTTTTTGCAAAGGTTGTTACTGACGTTCCAAAGAGTTGAATAAAATGTTGCATGCCCCTCCAACAGTGCACTTCCCTGACTTTTCAGGCAACCGGCATGCTCACCTGAATTCAACAGGTGCACGGTAAAGAATCAAAACAGTGCTATACATACCATAAAGATCTGGATTGCTGCGGATATACAGCCTCACAAAGTTTTTTCCTGGTATGGGCAAAAGAGACCCTTTTATTCTGTCAAAGACCTAGAAAATAACACAGCAATAAGTCTATTGAAGATTTCTGTAAAGTTTAATAAATTCAAATACTGCAAAATTGAAACTCTGTTATTACAATCTTTATAATGAGAGTATTTTCAAATGCCAATAACCTTTTACTTTTCTAAGACCATAACCAGTATACAAAAGCTTTCATGTTATGTGATTGTTTAACCATTAAAGACACAAGTCTCCATTACATGTGAAAAGAAAGGTGAAACTGGTTTACAAACCTGATAAGTGTCTACATCAAAGAATGTTTGATAGTATTCAAATGTCCAGAAGGGGGAGCTTTTCTTCTGTCCAGCAAGTAACTGTCAGAGGTAAAATCAAATAAAATGAACACAGAAACAGTTTTCTTACATCAGCCACGCAGACACTAGGAACTGATCTAATGGAAAATCAAGATGTATTGATTTGGAGCTCTTCTGCATTCATCATCCACTTTGCAATAGCCCTGCCCAACAGCCTGATAGAAAACAAGCATCCGTTTTGAAGTCACACCCAAAGGTTTCAATTCCTGGTCTGTCCACCAGGGAGAGACTTGTCAAATCACTAGACTGGGTTCTCTTAAAAAGTACAGTGAACAAGATCCACCTCAAAGGATTATAGGAAGGATTAGCTCAGTTATATATAATATATATGTATCAGGTATATAACATATATATATGCATATATACACACACAAACATGTACATACAGAAGGCAGTCTTTTATTACCCAACCTCCTCAAGATTCTTACTACTATCACCACTGAATTCCTAAAAATCTGATCTACTGATTTATTCTAACATACTTAAAACTTAAGATATACTCCTCTGACAAAAACCCCCCACAAAATTCCAATTTAGAAGAAGCACATATCTATCCCAACAGTACAGCTAAATAGCAGAATGTAAGCCCCTTGCCAGGTACTGTGATTGCCACTTCAGATCTTTCATAAGGATTCATACAGCAAAAGGCACAGATGGCCTATGAGGAGCTCTGCAGGACAAGGGAAGGTGCTATGAGGAGATATTTTTTGTTCTTTAAAAGGAAAACTTTTGGGGCACTTGGGTAGCTCAATGGTTGAGTGTCTGCCTTTGGCTCAGGTCATGATTCTGGGGTCCTGAGATCAAGTCCCACATCAGGCTCCCCATAGGGAGCCTGCTTCTCCCTCTGCCTATGTCTCTGCCTCTCTCTATGTGTTTCTCATGAATAAATAAATAAAATCTTAAATAAATAAATAAATAAATAAATAAATAAATAAATAAATAAATAAATAAAGGAAAACTTTTCCATAATTAAAATTGTCCAATAGTGGCACTGGCTGCTTTCCATGGTAATGAATAGCCCTCTTCTGGAGGTATTCAAGTGCTGCCTTTCTGACATATCACAAACAGCATTAATATCTTGGGAGGGAAGCTGAGACAGAGGAAACCGAAGGTTCTTTCAAACTCTAGTATTACAAGATATTGAACTCTAGAGACCCATGTTCCCTAAATTAGGACAAGGAATTAAGTATCTATCATAGACTATTGGTAACATCTTCCCAATTCCCAGACAAATTAAGATAATGGATAGAATGTTTCAATTTTAAGATTTTTTTCCCCTTAATACATTTCTCAAACTTTTGATGCCTGCTGTTGCTCAGTGTGATGGTTAATTTTATGTGTCAATTTGTCTAGGACATAGCACCCAGATATTTGGTCAGACATTAGTCTGGATGTTTCTGTGATGCTGTTTTTGGATAAGCTATACATTTAAATTAGTGGACTTTCTGAGTAAAGCAGATTGCCTTCCATAATGTGGGTGGGCCACAACCAATCAGGTGAAGGCCCGAACAGAACAAAAAGCCAACCTCTCTGAGCAAGAGGGACTTCTCTAGCAGACTGCTTTTGGACTTCATCTGCAATACCAGCTCTTCCTGGGTCTACAGCAGAATGTCTTTAACTCAAACTCAAACTCCTTCCTGAGTCTCAGCCTACTAGCCTTTTCCATCAGATTTTGGATGCACTAAGCATCCACAATCACATGAACCAATTTTTAAAAACAAACCTCTTTTGGGGCACCTGGATGGCTCAGTCAGATGAGTGTCGAACTCTTGGTATCCACTCAGGTCATGATCTCGCTGTTGTGGGATCCAGCCCACTTTGGGTTCTGGGCTCAGCACAGAGTCCGCTCTCTCTCTTCCTCTACCCCTCCTCCCACTGCCACTCTCTCTCTCTCTCTCTCTCTAAAATAAATCAATCTTTTTTAAAAATTAAAAAAATAAACCTCTTTCTCAAGGTACCTAGGTGGCTCAGTCAGCTGAGCATCCAATTTTTGGTTTCATCTCAGATCATGATCTCGTGGGTTGTGAAATCAAGCCCTGGTGGAGAAGTCTACTTGAAGATTCTCTCCCTCTACCCTTCCCCCCATGTGTGCACTTGTGTGAATTAAATAAATCCCTCTTTTTAAAAAGTTTAAAAAAATAAACAAACCTCTTTCTATATTCACACTGTATTGGTTCTATTTCTCTGGAGAACTCTAAGTAGTTGCATATACTGAAGCAAGTTATTTAAACCCTGTGCCTCAAGTTTGTCCTTTGTAAAATGAGGATAAGAACAGTTCCTGGCATACAGAATTGTTTCGAGGATCAAATAAAATGATCCAAGTAAGGAACTTTAAATGGTGTCTGATAGCTATTAAGCACAGAATAAACATTTGCTATTGTAATGATAATGATGACAATGGTCAATATACTATTTTCTTATATCAGATGAGAAAAGCCAGTCATAAGGAAGTCCAAGTACCTTACCAAGACCACAGAGCTATTCCTACTGGCTGACCCAGGATTCAAAGTTAGGCTCCTAGGTCTAAGCTCCTGCCACAGTATCTAACATATAAGGGTATTTAATTTAGCATAAACTTCAGTACCTATTTTGACATTTCATGGAGTTTGAGAAAGAGCACCTGGCACCCAAGAGCTAAACTATTTCATGAGTCTGTGGACTCAATGCTATAAACTGTGTGCTCCTCTAGAGTACCACAGTCATGGCTGCATTTATAAAATATTAACAAAAATACTATTTTTCTGGAACACACTAGCAGTATACATGGAAATAAATCTTTGTGATCAAAACCAGCCACTTGATATTCACTGTTCATCCAGATGCAGGAATCTAGAAGTGTTCCTGGAATCCTTGCTCTCTCTTCCTCACCCGTTTCCCACCAAGTCCTACTGAGCCACCTGAGCCACCCCCTAACCACCTGTATCCAACTCTAGTTTTGGCTTCATCACTTCTAGCCTAGACCACCTTCACAGTCTCCAACCTGGTCTTCTGGCCTCCAGTCCATCTCCTTCCAATTTACACCCCACAGGTCACCCATACCTTTATCTTTAAACTTACCTGGCCATATCATCTAAAATATGTCAGTAGCTTCATCAGAAGCTTCTAGAATACAATTCCTACTCATTCGGTTGAGCCCTTGCAGAGCTTTGGAGCCTCACCTCCTGTCTGCACCTATATTTTGCTCCCAATATATGCAAAGATGGGAAACATGCTGTGTATACCATGTTTTTTTTTTTTTAAAAAAAGATTTATTTATTTATTCATTCAGAGAGAGAGAGACAGGCAGAGGGAGAAGCAGGCTCCATGCAGGGAGCCCGACGTGGGACTCGATCCTGGGTCTCCAGGATCACACCCTGGGCTGCAGGCGGCACCAAACCGCTGCGCCACTGGGGCTGCCCTATACCATGTTTTTTTGAGCCTCTTTGGCTTCACCAAAACAGCTCCTTTTGCCTGGATCACCCTTCTCCACCTTCTTCCCTTGGCTACCTCCTACCCTTGTTCCAAGACTCAGTTTGGTGATCAACCTCCACAATACCCCCACTCTGCTCCCACAACCCCACTATTCCTTCCACCAGCACACTTCCTGTAGGTAACAACAGCTGTGTACCTATCTCTCCCTTGGAGGCAGAGGCCACATGTGATCTACCTTTTGGACTGTCACTGCCGGCTCTCTATGTGGCACACAGGAGACAGTGAATAAATGCATGAAGGAGCTTTTAAAACATTAAAAGGAAAACCAAGGCAAGTTCAAACCTCAGTTTTGTCAGAGTCATCATTTCCCAGCAACTCATCATCCTCTTCTCCCCCTGAACCTCTTGGGAGTCCTCGTTGGTGTGTCGGGCTTTCACTAGGACCTTCGATGTGTATCGTAGTAGCACCTGGATTTGCTGCTGGAGAAGTGGCTGCATCACCAAATTCTGAAAGCAATTGGAGACCTTACTCACAGAGGAAATGCTGTACTTTTCATTTAAAGACAAACTGCTACAACCTCGACTTTGTACAGACTATTTGATACAAATGGCAAAAAGCTCTGAAAAAAGAAAACTCATCTAGAAATCAAGCTGCCTTAGAAAAAGGATTATGAAGACAACACAATTTGCAGTAATATTTGGATTTTATTCCTGGCTCAGCCACTTACTAACAAAATGAGCCTGAGTAAGTAACTCAACCTCTATAAGCCTCAGTATTCTCATCTATCCAATGGGAAGAACAATATTTTCAGAGAATTTGGGGAAAGTTAGAAGTAAAGTCCTTCACAGAGTAGCTGCCCCATAGCAAATACCCAACCTAAACCTCACTTCTTTGATTCAAGTTCAAAAAAATGTAATGGAAGTTATTTTTTCCAATAAGTCCTATGAAATCACAATGGAAAATATAGGGTCAAAAGTGCAAGTAGAAACCACAGAATAAATATCACTCATAGTCCTACTACATAAAGGCAAACACTAATAATTTTTGGTATTTTTCCACTTCTCTATATAGTGACTCTGTAAGATTCATGCCAGTGCTGAACATTCATTCATTCAACAAATATTTACTGTATGCCTACAATGTGCCAAACACTGATCTAGGATGTGATACTATATAAACAATTTTGTATCCTGCTCTGTTGACTGAAGATTATAGAAAATTGATTTTTTCATTTTATATCAGTCTTTATAATAATCATTTTTATAACTACATAATATTCCATAAGCTAGAAGGTGGAGGGAGTAAGAGAGACTGTGAATTGGATGTTTGGAGTGTTTCCAACTTTTCGTTATAAAAATAACACTGTAAGAAATGTTTGCATAGAAAAAGCTCTTGAGTTATTATCTATGAACACCTATCACTGCAGTCACCAGGACAAAGGGCACAAATCATTCATAAGGCTCTTAAGCCAGAGAGATAAACTGCTTTCCAAAAGAACCTCAGCTATTCACATCCACCAGCAATGATCGAGACTTCCTGTCTCCGGGTATTCTAACAAACTTTATTTAGCTGCTCTTGAATAAAACTCAAAGCATCTCTGAGTCTTGGCAGGATTAAATAAGAGTACCAGCAGGGCACTATTATAAAACTACAAGCATAGGGACGCCTGGGTGGCTCAGCTGGTTGAGCATCTGTCTTTGGCTCAGGTCATGATCCTGGGGTCCTGGGATGGAGCCTCGCACGGGGGCTACATATTCAGCAGAGAGTCTGCCTCTCCCTCTGCTCCTCCCCCCTGCTTGTGTGCACTCTCTCTCTCTCTCTCAAACAAATAAAGTATTAAAAAATAGAAATAATGATAAAAAGTAAAACTATAAGCATAGCATGAATCCTATGACTGGCAGTAGGATGGGGCTCTAGGATAATTGAGCCCACTCCTACTGTCTTTCAGCTATGTAAACAGTTTTATACAGAGAATCAGAGTGACTAAATTTAATTAAGTGGCTGATGTATAATAATTAGTCAAGCCTCATTCTGCAATGTTAAAGCAGCATGAAGCTCTGGAGTGAGATGGTCCTTTGTTAAAGTGAGGACTAACACTCCATGATCTCTGGCAAATGACTCTGTATCTCTAAGTTTCTGTATCTAAAACGTAGATAACATCTATCTTACAGACAGATTTTGAAGATGATATAATAATAAATATTGTCATACCTACCACTTATTGACTGGACAGGACACTAACTGGATGGCCACAACTGAGGGTACACACTTAAGTCTCATATTTAAAAAAACAGTACAGTTCAGGGGCGCCTGGGTGCCTCAGTCGGTTAAGTGTCTCCCTTTGACTCAGGTCATGATCTCAGGATCCTGGGATCAAGCCCCACATTGGGCTCCCTACTCGGTGGGGAGCCTGCTTCTCTTTCTCTCTCTCTCTCTCTCTCTCTCTCTCTCTCTCTCTCTCTCTCTCTCTCCCCCCTGCTTGTGCTCTCTCACTTTCTCTCTCTCAAATAAATAAAATCCTTAAAATAATAAATAAAAATAAAAACCAGTAGTTCAGCAGGCAGAAGGGCATGCCAGAAGGAGGAAGAGAGGGTCACTTTGGGGAGGAAAGGCCAAAGTTGTTCACAGGAGGATGATAACTCATCTATTTGACAGGATTAGGAAAGGCTTCTTGGAGAAGATGCCATAAATGGCAGAAGAATGGAAAAGGATGGCCAGAGATAGGATGGCATCTCACACAAGAACTAGAAGATGGAAAATGTGTCCCTTAAGAAACAGCAGGTAACACGGTTTGATTGGCATGTAGCATGCATGTACCTCTCACAGGATGACTGTCCCCACCTTCTGCTCCATATTAGTTATTCATGTCCATCTCAGCTCCTTGAGGGCAAGATTGGTGTGTTCTTTATTTCCATTCCACCAACATTCTCTGCTTCTACATGCTGGCAAGTCCTATGGTATGTGTGGCCTCTGTACGTTTCTTGACTCAATGTCTTCCACCTGAAGGGTCCTGATCGCCACTTTCTCACCTGAACTACCATCTTCCTCAGGTAAGCCTTCCGGGATCCCCACAGCATCCTGCATCCTCTTCTAAAGAGCAAAGCCTTAACATTGTTTACCACATCCTTGGTGATTTGGCTCCTGCCTCATCCCCAACCTCACCTTGTGCTAGTTTGCCTTGCCATTTGGACTCTGCATGTTGGCCTTCCTTCAATTTACTTGGGAGGGTGTAGGGGTGGGGGTGGAGTCAAACAAACATCCTCCCTCCTCAGGTACTTTGCATATGCTGTTCTCTACACAGAATTTTCTCACACCATACTCACAAAGGATGACCAAGGAGGGCCTCTCAAATGAACTGAGATTTGAACAGAGTGAGGGAGCAAGCTACATGGTTATCTGGAAGAAGAATTCCCAAACAGGAGGATGTCACAAAAGCCCTAAGCTGTGAGTGTACTTAGTGTCTAGGAGGGGCAGTGACAGGCCCAGGCAGGAAGGGCAGAGTGAGAAATAGCAAGAGTAGCAGGAGAGGAGATTGGAGGGAGCGGAGGGCTGGACCATGTCTGGCTTTCACACCTAGTGAGATGAGAGCCACTGGAAGGTTCTGAAGGGATGATGTGATCTGACTTAGTTTTAAAGGACTACTGGCTGCAAAATGCAGACTGTAAGGGGGCAAGGGAGGAAGCAGGAAGACCAGAAGGAGGGTAAGGGCTATAATCCACACAAGACGTGATGGTGACCTTGAGCATGGGGACAGATACAGGTGATAAGAAGTGGTTAGATGCTGGATGTATACTGAAGATGGGGGTGGATTTTTCTTTAAACATGCCATCTCTTCCTCAGATAGCATTGGCTGTGATGTCAAGCTGTCTGGATTCAAACCCTGCTTTACCACTTATTAACTACATGACCTTTAAGGCAAATTATTTTTCTGTGCCTGAGTTTCCTCATTGGTAAAACGGGGAGAATAAAATAACTATTTCATAAAGCTAACACAAAGATTAGATGAGCTAATATTTGTAAAGCAAAACAGTGCCTCACACATAGTAAGCACTGTGCCAAGTGTTTACAAGACAAATAAGTATTTGTCGATCCCAAGTCTAGGTCAGGCTCTAGGTTATGAGTGATGAACTGTTCCTCCAGCACTTTCATAGTTTGTGGATACATATTTAAGTGATCTTTACCAAATTAATGTCTCCCCACTAGACCGAAAACTACATAAGGGGGTGAACTGTCTTCCTCCCTCTTCTATCCCTGATTAACTAGAATAACTGCCTGGTTCATAGTCACACTCATAAGATACTTACTGTGTCAATGAAGGAATAACCTGATCACATTTCATCATAATTACCTTTTCACACTTTTATCTACTCCAGGTATGGAAAAAACTTCTCCTTTGTCTTTTTATTTCCTGTATCTAGTAAGTTCTGAGCCCAAAATAGGTGCTCAGTAAATATGTGTGTGGAAATGCAGTAACTCTATAAACATTTTTTTGCAATCACTGTATTAAATTAACGATGTTACCAATCTGAAAGGCTATTTGGCAAAAACAAAAAAAAAAAAAAAAAACAAAAACAGCTGGTGTGGACAAAGAGAAAAACCTGGATGTGGCCAACCTTCTTTTACCAAGATGTCTGAAATAATCTCCTTGATATATATGGCAGTATATCAGTGAAAACCCATCGCTGTGATGGTGGATATACTGATCATAAAAGGTAGGCACCCAACTGATGTACCTTCAAACTGCAAGTCATCTACAGCTGCCATTCAGCCAGTGGATCTTCTCCCAATTAAGAAGAAAATTTGCAGAGTTCTAAAAAGGAAAAATAAATAAACTTCATAGGATACAAGAATAAAATATACGCAAACGAATCTTGTTTCACTGTGAGAAACGGTACTGATTTCCCTCACCTCCTTTTTTAGTGGGGTGAGGAAAGTCAGATATTATGAAAACTGTCATAAAGAAGCTAACCCTGGGAGGTCCAAAGGTTCCATCCAATTTCACTCACTCCGTAAGTTAAGGACCAGGCACAGCCTGGAGGTGTTAAGGGTGACGAAGGGGCGGCTGGAGTTTGAGAGGTAGCTATGAGGACAGTGCAGAGCGAAGGCAAGCCAGCCTAGCCAGTGGTTAAGGGCACAGGCTCTGGGGTCAAACAGACCTGGGTTTGATTCCCGATTCTGCTTCTCCTCGGTGTGGGACTGTGGGCTCCTCGGGGCCTCAGTTTTCTCATCTGTAAAATGGGTTCATAATGGTACCGACTCACAACGTGTCAGAGGCCATTAAATGAGACGGTGAGTATAAGTGAGGCGCTTTGTGCACAGCCAAGCAATTAGTAGGCGCTGGAGTGAGGGCGACCCTGCAAGCCTTGGGACACCCTGAGCCCAGGCAGGTCGGGGAAAGAGCTGCCCAGGAAGCAGAGGTAGTGTTTTAGGGGGAGGAGCTGGGCCGCAGCATCCCGGCTGGCGGGAGATCGCGGGCCCACTCCGTTCCGGGCCGGCTCCGCAGACCCGGCCGCCTCACCTCGCCGAGGGGCTCGGCGTCCAGCCGGTCCCGGGAAGGCTCCGGCCTCAGGTGCTCTGCGCAGGTTCGGGTCCCGCGGAGTTGCCGGAAGCCGGAGATCCGGGGGCGGGCGGGGGGGGGGCGGAACCTCCCCGCCTCCTCCGGGCAGAGCCCCGCCTCCTTAAAGAGACCGCAGCTCCGGGAGCGCTTCCTGAGACTCAGCGGCCGCGGCCTACGGAGCATGCTCCTCCCCCCCCCGCCCCCCCCCGCCCCGCCTCCCCGCCCCTCCGAGACGGAGGTCCGGGTTCTTAAAGAGACAGACACCGCGGAGAGGAGGCGGGGCTACAGGGGCGGGGTGGGTAGGGCAGGGAATTCTCTTGCGTGTGGGGTCTTCTTTCTGCTCGTTTATACCTCTTTCCTTACGGAAATATAAAGTAGCGTCACGAAGGACGGTTGTCAAGAGACAAAGTCATCACTCCCTCGCGTCCTTTGTTGGCCGTAAAAATGCAATTAACCTGTGACGGCGTGGGCGAGGCGAATCCTTTCCGAGTTGTGAATGAGGGATGGGGGGCAGGTGCCGTCTGCTCACGTGGCCGCCCCAAGCCCGGGCGCGCCCCTTCTGCCCCGGGCGGGCGCGCGGGGGCGGGGGGAGGCCCAGGCCCCGCGCACCCCTGGGTCCCGCGGCGCCGCGGGGGCCCGTGAACTACGGAGGTGCCGGCGGACCCGTGTTGATGCGCCTTGCCCGGCTTTGTGCGTGTCCTGGCTACGCCTACGCAGCCCCCCGGATTGACCGTATTCTCCTGGCAGAGCCCCCTGCCTTGACCCGGGACCCCGCCAGGACCCGTTTGCCGCCACGGCCTCCTGGGCTTGCGCCTACCCCCGCGCTTGCTGTCGCCAGCCCATCCTTACCAGCCTGGGCGCGCTCTGAGAGCAAGGACCAGGAACGACTCCGGCCTCCGGGTGCCCGGGCCCCGCGCACAGTAGCTGCTCACTGAACGGTGACTGTAGACTGAACACCTTCTGGCTGTCTGAGCAGCATAAGCCTGATTCGCGGCTCACCCAAGGTGGAAACTGTGACTTTGGCGTCCCCACACCCGACCCTGGTGGTCAACTGCAAAGACTTTACATCTGACTAAATAAATATATATGCCTTTATGCATGCAGTCTATTTCCTGAACTGGCATCATGATCGGGCTTTACACATGCACGATCTCTGATTCTCAGGACAATCCTGCGAGCTTGAGGTGATTGTCCTCAGTTTACAAAGAGGAAGTTGAGGCTTAGAGTACTGCAGTGTTCTTTGGCTGAATGGGTAGCAGGAATGAATCTCAGGGCACAAGTTCGGGTGTGCAAGTATGTCAAACACCTCTTATACTCCATTTCAGATCCTCTTGGCCTCACTTGCTGCTTATTTCACCATCATGGATCTTATTGGGCACCAGCAGTTATAACCTAAGTGATCTTCACCCCAAGCCCAAGCCTCAGGCTTCTCATCAGCATCATGGCTTGTGTCTTGGGAGTCATGGATCTGCTGGAACTAGTCAACACTGGGACAGGAGCAACCCAGAAGTGCAGAAGTGAAGAGTGGTTGATGCATCATGGGACACATCTTTGACTAATGGAGTCAACAACTGATGCTTCTCACTTTTTCCCTTCAGACTCTCCCCAGATATTTCATATTGTTTTCTAACTCTCTTGCAGGATCAAGCAACAAATGCCTTAGGAAGTGACCAATTTGGTGCTGCATCCTTGCAATGGCTCACCTTCCTTCTCTGCTTCATAACCCCTGTCCTTCGCTCCTGGTTCTTGGACTCACACTTGCCAATAAAGTACTCAAATGAGGAACCTACACTAAGGCATGCTGGTGCCAAGAGTGGCCCCAGGAATCAGCTCTCAGGTTGGAATTTTAGAGCTGGACTGCTCAACAGTCAAATGGCAAAAACTCGTCGCTGGTGATAAGTGTATTTGTTGCAGGGGGTGGGGGTGGAGGTGAAAACACCTAGGCTATAGATTTCTTCTCTTAGAAACAAATAAAAGTTATATCGATATATTAGTCATCACAATATGTAAGTTTTGGCTCAAAATGAGATAAGAATCAAAGATTACTGGTTTAAAACAGTGATTCTCAGCTGCAGGCTGTTTTGCTCTGAGGGGGTGTTTGGCAATCTCTGAAATCATTTTTGATTGTTACAACTGGTGGAGTGCTACTGGGGTACTCCTGGCCACCATACTTTTGAACACCCTACAGGCCACGGGATAGCCCCTCACAACAAAGAATTATCTAATCCAAAATGTCAGTGGCGTCAAGGTTAAAAAACTGAGCTCAAATGTTCAGATGTTCCTAACTGGTAGGAACAAGTAGATGAGCTCAACTGGTGATGCTAATTCTACCTCTACTGCCCTGAGGGGGAAATGAACCAGGGAGAGATGGAAGCCACACCCACCCTCCCTTAGATAGAATGAGGGGAGGGGAGGGGAAGCTGAGGTACAAGTCTTGCTCTGATGGACAGGGATGGAGGGGGTGAGTGGAGGGGCCACTCTAGTTAGACACTATGTGTGATCCTGGCTTAGTCCCCCGGCTTTCTTCTGGCGACCACACAGCTGAGCCATGCTCCAAAGAATATCTCTTACACCTTCATGAGTGACACTCATCCCACGGAGAAGGCTGCTGAGACTGTGGGAGCATCTCACTCTGACTCTTGAGGTTGCAGATGAGGGATGGGCAGTTGGTACCACTTTAATTGTTTTCTTTTGGATTCTCAACAGACAGTACTCTTGTCCTTTTTTAATGTGCCTGGTGTTACGGGCTAAGATTATTTGAAGCCATTATGTGGGCAAGAGAGAACTGGAATAGGCTGCCTGCACTTGCTCAGGGTAGGCCAGAGCCACCCTACAACAAACAGAACACAAGATTCATATAAGTTTACCCCCCTTCCCCACCCCAAAATTTGATTTTAAAAATGTATAAACTGTGTACATTTAAAAGACAAAACAGGAGGGGCACCTGGGTGGCTCAGTGGTTGAGTGTCTACCTTCAGCTCAGGTCGTGATCCCAGGGTCCTGGAACCAAGTCCCACATCAGGCTCCCGGGGGGAAGCCTGCTTCTCTCTCTGCCTATGTCTCTACCTCTCTCTCTGTGTCTCTCAAGAATAAATAAATAAAATCTTTAAAAACAAATAAAAATAAAAGACAAAGCAAGAGACTTCAAAGACTTTATAAACTGAATGGGCTAATCCCAGATACTCAGCAGCCAGCAGTATCTGGGAGGCAAGATTGAGAAGCATGGCCTGATGCTCTGTCCCTTAGAGTGGCTTGCATTCTGTTGTGTACCCTCTCTGGTAGGTTAAGTGATTCAGCCTTAGTCACACAGCTAGGTGGATGGAGTTCAGGCCCGTGGTGTGCTGAAGCATTCTCAAACCAGTTCATAAGTGCTGGTTGTTAAATTCTCAGAAATTCTGTGAGCCAGCCATTATTAAAAGTTAAATTATATAAACTTACAGTTAAAGAAATTATATAAACAATAAATTAACAGCAGAGGTAATAGTGTTCAAAATATGACTTTTAAATATTTTTCTACATTTTGCCATTATCTATTCTCCTGAGGTTATATCTATTTTATATAAACAGTGTGCTTCTGATAATCACTTCCCATCTCCACATGCATAGTGGCATCACCTTGGTAGCTTTAAGTCAGCAGTGGTGTGGGACGCCCGGGTGGCTCAGCAGTTGAGCGTCTGCCTTCGGCTCAGGGCCTTATCCCAGGATCCAGGATCGAGTCCCACATTGGGCTCCCTGCGAGGAGTCTGCTTCTCCCTCTGCCTATATCTCTGCCTCTCTGTGTGTGTGTCTCTCATGAATAAATAAATAAGCCTTAAAAAAAGTCAGCAGTGGTGGAACTAGTTATATCACAGAAATTGCCAAATGCTACACATCTGGGGTTGATTTATTGTTATGTTAATTGTCTAGACCAGGGCTGGCAATCTTTTTCTGGAAAGTCCAGAATAGTAAATATTTTCAGCTTTGTGGACTGCATAGTCTGTTGCAACTAGTCAACTCTGCTGTTGTAGCACAAAAGCAGACATAGACAAAAGTGTAAATGAATTGGCAGGCTGTATTTCAATAAAGCTTTATTTACAAAAATAGGCAGAGGGCCAGATTTGGCCATAGCCTACAATTTGCCAATCCCTGTTCTAAATTTAAGAAGATGATGGAGAAAATGTTGAAGTGCAGATTAAATATAACAGTATGTGCTATGCTTCTAGTAGTAATATTGTGAATAACACAAAAAAATTAAGGAAGTATTCTTTGAGTATTTGAAAACAAGTTCCTCATATCATGAACAAACAAGCCAAATTTTGACATACATGTTCATTGTTTCGCTTTTATCTTCTGCCTTAACTTAAAGGGAAATACTACCAACATTCATGTCCAAACAATCCTGTTCATCAATTGCAGACATAGGTGGGCTGCAGAAAAGTGTTCGGCAATCAATGAAAACATCCTATGGGAATCAACTGGCTATGTGGAATTTGCAGTAACAAATATTTTACATTTATATCTTTAAATATTTATTTATTTATTTTTGAGAGGTGGAGGAAGGGCAGAGGGAATCTCAAGCAGACTCCACAGTGAGTGTGGAGCCCCATGTGAGGCTCAATTCCATAATGCCATCATGACCTGAGCAGAAACCAGGAATCGGATACTCAAATGACTATGCCATCCAGGCACCCCAAGAATATTTTATATTTTATTGTATTGTAATTTGTAAATTGTTCCTTTTTACCAATTTCAGTATCTTGATAATTTTTTTGGAAATTTACATGTCATCTCAGTTTACTGATGTGTCTTTCAAATGTCATTTTATTCTTGAAATCTCTGTAGTGTCTGTTCTTACTAATGTTTATTTGAGAATTTTTCTTGATTAGATTTTGTTAGAGATTTATGTGTCTTACTAATCATTTCAAGGAATGATTTTTTGAGTCCTATTTTTTCCCTTGTTGCTCTCATTGCCCCATTCCCAAATTCATTCTTTTCTTTCCTTATCTTTATTATTTCCTCCTGAGAGGTGCTTACTCTATTGTCCTTGTTCTGGCTATTCATTTGAGTCATTAGTCCTTTT